GCGGCTTGCAGCTACAGTAAATAACCCTTCGTTAACGCGAACGAGACTTTCGAAGTAACACGTACTATATATATATATACATTCACACAGGTTACGCAGTACCTACGGGCCCTTAGAGTTCCAAAACCCATTGAAATCGAGTAACCCCGCCACTCCCATAGCGACAACATTCCCCATGTAGAATCAATAGAAGGAACACGTATGAGGTGAATCTGGTAGTATATAAAAAAAAAAAAATTAATTATTTTACGCCAAATGTAATTGATTAAAAAAATTTTGCTATCACTTATAAAAATTGTTCTATCATATCCGTAGGTTCCCCCTAGTCAATCAGCCGTCCACGAATTCTCTGGTTTACCGCCTCTAGTAAATTCCGTCACGTTGCCTGCACTGTTCTCATAAAAAAGACTCCGCGAAACTCTAGGAAAGGCAGACTAGAGCGAGAGGATCCAAGTTTATCCGCGTTCTATTATGAAGCATCTGCAGCTGTTAGCCCCGTTGCTCCTGCGACTCGAGGGAGGGCATTAATAAGACGACGCATCGTTGGACAGACTTAGAATAGAGCTTGGAATAGATCGTAACAGCACTAGGCCACATAATCCAACAGAGAGTAGTACATACTCCAATCCACCACTCCAATACCCATAGCAGCCCTTTTCTCAGTGTACAAGCGAATCTGTGCGACCACCCACTGCTTACCATTGCACACAGATATACATATTGCAGACTGTACCGATTCGCGTATAACACGTTAATGGTATTCCAGTCTACTAAATACTGGACTTCCAATCTACTCTAGTAGTCATAGGTGGCTGTGCTCTACTTTTGTCTAGTTCTCTGGTATGCAGCACCAGTCCACTCTATACCACTCGGGAAGGAAAGGGGTATCGCTCGTTAGCGTCGCTTTCCAAACAAAAAGGCTTGGATCACCTTCTCTCGTTGTGCTGACGCCACTTGCGCTGCTACCGATGGTAGCGCAGCTACCGTTGCTACTCCATGTGCTGATCCCTGGATCTATCCACATGTATATTCCGTTGTGCCCTACGCGACTGTCTATACTAACGTATGTGTACTGAACCCGGGGTACGATTTCGAAAGTAATACCGCGTCGGGACCATCGACGTGTCATTAAATCGTCAGGGGCCTTTAATGAGATTATTACCGACGGATTGGCAGCCGAATCTTGCTTGCGTAACTCCCTCTTCGAATTTTCGACTCTTTCAAGAAACCTCGTCTCGTCTCTCTCGCCTCTTGATCCTTGGTCAGTTCGATTTACCCAGTTGGATATTAAAAAATGGGTTTGGACTTTTTTTTTTTTTAATTTATGAGAAGATCGGACTTTTCCCTTAATCTCTTATGTACCGGTAATCTACGCGGATCGATCTCACGCCACTCCTACTCTATCTGTATTATTGAATCTGGGTTTCGAAATTGAGTGGGTGGATCTTTGGAGTGGTTACTCGTTTTTTTTTGTAATGTAAAAAGACAGGGCGATAGAGATGAATATTTTTGATAGGTGTTAGGTCAGGTCATTGGCTGGAGAGAATTCGAGGGAAAATTCGCTGCTGCTGGCGAGGGACGAGGTCGTCCTTCCAGGAGTAGACTCATCCGATCCGATCGGCAAACAGGATCGGCTTTGTGGCCGGACAGCGAGTCGGGTAACAAACGACTCGCAAATCCTCCCTGTCAATTTAATCTCGCCTCGAATCCACGCAGAAATGTTAATAAGGCCTTACTACCGTTTCTCTCTCGGCGGCCGCGCCGACGCGTAACACTTTATTTTCGCGCAAAGATACCGCCCGGTGGAAATTGTGTGCAAAGCGACTTCCCTTTCCTTCCCTTTACTTTGGTTGGCTTCTGTGGCATCCCTCTCTCTGTGCTCACCCTTCGGTACGGTGACTTCCCCGGATTGCCTGTTGCAATTTATTTAATGCCAGCAGGCGAGAGCGCATGCGCAGATAGAATGGCTTCCGTTTTATCCTTTCCCTAAACGTCGACAAGAAATACTTAGTAGAATCGCTAAGTTCTTTTTTTTCTTTTTCGAATTTTATTTTATTTTTTTTTTTAATTTCTTGCTTAGGTATAAGCCGAGGATTTGTCATTTGGCGTCTTAGGAAATTCGTGGCCGCAGCGATATCGAAATAGAAAACTACGTTGTTGGATTGGAGTTTGGGCAGGGGATTACACGGGGCTTCGCGCCATTGTGTCATCCAGTAATTTTTCCCCCAGGGGGCTTTCGTCTTCTCTCGTCACTTTTGACATTTTAATAATCCCATTTTAATTGGTTTCCAATGGGCCGAGGCCATTTCTGGATATTTGTTGACAACCTTCCGGCATCCACTTTCCATTTGGTGATTCCCTCCTTACCGATCTTCTCTTCTTTGTCGTTCGTATCTTTCATTGTTTTTTCCTCTCTCTCTCTCTCGCTCGCCGTAGATAACGAACGACGTGCTCTTTTAATACGAAGGATCGCGAGACACGCGTTAGGCAACGCTGAGAAGTGCGCGCGGGTCGATCTCTTGAAATGCATTTGACTTTTTAGCTTTCTTTGTTATGTCTGTAAACCAGCACGTGTACGATTGCATTGTTTTTGCGTACCTACGTGCTTTTGAACTGTCGGAAAAAAAATGTCACGAAATTCTAAACGCGAGTTGCGTCAGACGGACTTTATTTTTATTCATAGACGTAACTGTATATACTTTTCTGTTTTGATAATTATATATATATTTTTTTTCTATTTTTTTATTGCACCTTTACATTGAAACATTTTTTTCTACGGTATCATTCGGTGTATATTTTTAGTATATTTTCTTATTGACGTTAATTATATCTGCATATTGACGTTATTAATATCTGCATGGGTGATGACTTAATGAGGATACTTGAAATCTTCCCTATTTGAAAATTAGTATAGCGTGGTTACTCGAGGTACTGGAAATAGCTCAGTCCGGTATGCCGGGTAAATAGAAACAACAGGTAGACGACGGTGGCAGTCTTCGCTGGGACGTCGCGACGCTTCTTGCCAGTACAAATAAATCGGCGTAATTGTCTTGCGAGTACTACGGCCCCGTTCTATTATTAGTGGTATCACGTAGAACTTGCGCGGGTGAGCTAACACTCCTACCAAATTTCGGTTGGACCAAACCTGACCGGAAGATTACACAAATTCCACAAATCCTTGACTCATACGTGTTACGCAAGATTTTTCCGGTCCTTGGAGAGAATCCTGACATACTTCTCGGACATCTCTTACAATAAGTATTTGTTATCAGTATCACGAATTCGTCTAAATTGGGTCAACGCCTATAGTCCTCATCCTTTAGCTTCAATTTTATATAGGTCACTTATTCCGAAATGGTTGACGAGGCTAAGTCTTATCGTAATCAGAACGCAATGTGGTTTTAAGTGTAGACGTTAGTCAAGACTCCGATGAAAAGCGTCGCGATGACTTCGCGAGAAAACCCACGAGTTGACCCAAAAAATTGGCACGGTTATTAAGCTATGAAAAATCACGTATGGTATTATTAAAAAAAAAAAAATTTTTTTTCAAAAATATCTCAAAGTCTTGTATGTATATGAAAATCGACGCCAACCGCCTACCAGCTGAATTCACCTTGAGCGAATCGCTATGGCGAGAAGAAGCTCGTTAACGTGGAGTCGCTCGTTGGATTTTTAATTGTTCGTTGTTAATTGTGCTTGAGGAAATTGGCAGTGGGACCGGTTGCCAAGAGAGTGTCACTCCGTGTCGTTGAGATTCTTTTTCCAGTTTCTTCGTTGGTAGAGACCTCGTGTCGGTCTGTAGTTTGTTATCCGGTTTGATACTTGGCACAGCTGGTGGGTGGATTTGAACGCCGCGTTAAATTTAATATATCATTAATATTATTCGGGTTGTGTATTATAATATTTCTGTCCTTCCCTCTCGCAGTTACGTATACGGGTTTCTCTCTCTCGCTCTTTCATTCATCCTTTTTTTATTTTTGAGAAAGATCAGCATCGAAATGTCAATCTATCGGTCGACTGGACCGGCGTAGGCGATCGAGATTTCGGCAGTCTCTTCCGTGGGCGTCGTCATGGAAACTGCGAGGAAGCGAATCTTACAAAACACGTATGTCAAGTGGGCGAGATGATCGAGAGACTAGTGTGGGCCCTACGAGCACCCGACAGCTCGAGGGCCTTATCATGGTGTAGGCGAGCACTTCCGTTCCTTACGAGTGTCGCCCTGACCCTACCATACCTTTACCATACCTCAAAAGAGACATTCACCATGGTGCTAGATCAAATCGATTTTCTGCCACCTGTTGAGTATCCCAGTGAAAAGGACACACCTGCTCACGAATTGGACCCATTGAATCGCCAAGTGACAGAGTTGGCGAGGAGTGATATTAAAGGGCCCACTGGGGCCTCTTTAAATTCTTCCTGAGATTCCGGTCGGAAATCCGTTCCTCGTCGACAGTCCAGTCACGCGACAGTCGGTAGCACGTCTATTTCGACCAATGTACCAGACAGAAGGAATCGTATATTTCCCTAACGATATATAAATACATACACCCATATATTTATATATACATCCCATATTACGGTACTCAAAATTTGACATGTTTATGAGCATTCGAAAGAATTCTCAACTCTAGATGAATCCCGATGACTTCAGCTAACTCTGGGCACGCGCCACGATCCTCTCCACGGTCTCCTCCTGCTTTTCATCCTCTTACTCCTCCGCGTTCAGGTTCAGCTCTCCCTGTAGGTAGGTAGGTAGGTAGGTAGGTAGATAGGTAGGTTCAGTATCTCTCCCACCGGTTGGATGTCCGTGGTGGTGCAAGCGGTCCCCGTGTGTTGCGGGGCCCGGCCCCCGGCGAGTTCCAAGAGCGTAATACGTTCTTACGTTGAAACACGTAAGCACACGTACACGTCCCGAGTGAAGACACACACGAAGGAAACGTTCTACCTCCTGCAGGGGCCGTCACGTGGTCCCCGTGGACGGGCTCGAGTCGCGCACACAACTCCAGTCAGAGACGAACCGAGAGACCGGCTGCAGATCATACGGAACGAACCGATTCTCTTCCCACACGCTGTATAACACGTATAGACAGATAGACGGACGAAACGGACGGACAGACCGATGGACGGACGCGCGCGAGAAGGACACGAGAAGTAAAAGAAAAGGAAGAAAAATATAGGAGGGTGCCCTAGAGGGAAAGAGACGCAAGGGCTGTCGAGTGTCTCCTCGTCCTCGCTAGGTCATCCCGGTTTTCATCCCGGTCTCCGTCCCGGTCATGCCCCACGTTCTGGGCCAACTCCTCACCCTGGGGCCCCCAGCAGTGAACCCGAGCTAAGGACGTCACGTGAACATCGCACGTTACCTGCTTTTTACGTTACTTTCGACATGCGACTCCTATCAAGATACCACGGACGTCTTTCGCGCTGGATTCTTTTTTAAGTCCCAAAAGTGATTATTCATCTACGAACGTAATTAATCGCGTGTTTGTGTCTCTGTGAAGTAAGTGTACGATTTTTCGATTGGATGTGCGGTGACAAGGATTGACGGGAGCCTAATCATTGTGATTATACGTGCTGTCAAATAGAGCAAAGACGACCCGAAGAAATCTTATTCGATTAACCTTCGAATGGTGTGATTTATTTTTAATATAAAATAAAAGATCCACGCTCCAGATCAGTTAGCTTCAGCTGGCCGATCAGCTGGATTTGTTTTACGTTTGTTTGGTCAACTGGCAACTGTCAAATTTTTTTAGTACGACACGTGTCCTTCGGCTGGTTCTCCCCGTCTGCTACTCTTATCAGGTGTGAACCCTTACCCCGTCGCACTCGTTACCCCTGCTGCCTTCAACCCCTGCTAGTGACTCCGTGTTTACCAAACACGAAGTAATAGCTGGTCGTTGTCTTTGTACGCGCGTGCTCGCATACCCTGTTATCATCGCGTTATCGTGTTACCACTGACAGCAATAGGGACCCACTTGTCGGTTCCTTTTGAAACGTTGCGGGATTAATTTTTTCTTCGACTCACTCGGCATCTGTCAAATCGGATCATCAATGATTTCTCAACGGAGTTTGTTGTCCGTCGGATCGGTTAGCTGTCATCCCCCTTTAGTGTAATATCCTAAAGATCCTTACGCGCTCTACTTATACGGCTCGAGCTAGAACCAGTGCCTAGTATAGGTAGCGTTAGTAGTCGTTACCGCGAGTAATCGGGGCCCCCGGGTTCGTGAGCAGTAATGAACCGATCCCTATCAAGCAGATAAAATCTGATAATTAAATCAAATCGAAGCGGTCTGAGAACGGTTCGGCTAGGAGCAGCAGCCCGCAGCAACATTACACGGCGCCATTAATTAAATCGCGTTGTGCGATTGAATCGTCTGCTCGGATTATGAATGTGAAATTAACGTCTGACAGATATACCGCACGGTTGAATCTTCGGTGTTCGATAGCGGCAGTCGAACCTGGTCCAGGCGAGTCGGGACCCAATCGAGTGGCGTTAACGAATCACACCCAGAAAATTGATTCTCCGAGGTGCGCCCCATCCTCGGTCCGGACCCACCATGAGAATACGATCTCGAGTGATCTCAGGATGCGATTAGAGATGATCTTTCGGGAGTGAAGTCAGCCTGTGGCGGCTTCTAGATTGCTAGAGACATTAGGTAGGAATCTCTTTGAGAGATTTTTATTGCCTATCGGACTAGACCAGCGACTGGTTGAATATAAAGGAAATCGAGTGTCAAGGGTCGCGCTGGGGTTAAATAAGGAAGGTAGTGGTTAGTGGTAGTGGATATACCGGGTGACTGTCTGGTTACAGTGATACTGCTCGACCCGTAGATCGTGTCCATGGCGCGAGCTAACGTTCATTTCGTAACTTGATACGTCGTTAACATAACAGATTACGCGATTAACCCTCCGTACGGTTAATTAGAGGCGCTGATTATAAATAAGGGAAAAGCAACGGGGGAATCAATCAGGCCTTGGCGGTAAGAGCGACGCCATGGCAACGGGACGCGAGATTAAATGCTGCTTCTCTAGGACGACGGCGATGACGGTGACGACGCTCTCGGATACGACTTGAACTTTTTTGAAGATTGCCCAACGATCGCTCGGTGTGGAGAGACCCTTATCTCGGCGCGATCTCTCTTTTGCGACTGCTTTAAAAATAACAGTCCGGGCTGCTGGAGCGTCCTGCCGAAAAATCCGTAATGCGCCTCTCGCGGTAGCGCTGGACCACCTTCTGACTCGGATTGCTAATTATTCATTTATCTACTACGGGGATCTGACAGGATACGCCGGATAGCGAAAGAGAAGGACATGCCATACGTTGGCAGGGAGAAAGAGAGAGATAGTAAAGAGTTTAAAAAAAAGGAAAATATCTGTACCGAATTTCATACGTATCCTTGTGTATATCCCCATGGCACTTGATTTATCTTGGCCAACGAGGATTCGGCAAGGACTTTCACTCTCCTCATAAATTTCTTTTTCTTTTTCACGTGTCTCGTTGTTTTCGAAAGCGTGTATTTCGCGCGAGCGTTTCTATACTCCGCTCCGAGTAGTCAAGGGTTACGGGTTGTTAGATTAGTTAGTAAGCCCAGGGCGAGGACCACCTCGGCTGACAGATCCTCTTGATTCGTATTAATTCGAACCGATTAGCACAGTGTGTGGCTGCTATGGCCAGTGGCTAATACAATTTAGGACGAGTGCATAATTGCGTTTGGTCCATCTGGGATTAATTTGGTCGAATCGAGTTAAATTGTCCGTGGAGAAGCGGGATTTAAGAAAATTCAATCCACCTGGATACTTTTATTTCTCTTAAACTCTTTACCTGTACGTGTAAACTTGTTCACGGATCTATATGGTAAATCATTGATCGTTTTTTACGTAAAAGACCCAAAATCATCTTATCCTCTTAAAAGTTGACCAATCTTACGGAAAATATAATTCTTCCGCGACTCAATCCCTTACCTCATAATAAAATTACCTTTAGAATCGAATAGGCGTGAATCTCTTGGCACGGGATGAAGATCTGTAAATCTAGTCAGACGTAAGGATCAGTGATAACGAAGATAAGAGGTGCCTGTGAAGAAGTGAACTTTGTATCCTGCAGTGAACCGTTATCAATGGTGCATGTAATAACAGTGACTCGAACAGTGAAAGATCGCCGATAGTCGCGCATGGAATCGAGAAATTACCAATCAGTAATCAATTTGTCGATTGACGCTAGAGATAACGTTAGGAGGCAACCATGGTTACTCTGGACACAGAACAGAAGCCTGAAAGGCAGCATTGCGGTCGTCGCATGTGCGCCATATGCAGACGCATCAAACGTGATAAAGGTAACGATAGTGACGTTTGAAAATATATAATTACCACACGCGCGACGTTACAGGAAAAAGAGTTTCTCGATATATTTACCAGACTGTCCCGACGTCCCCCGACGTCACCCGACGTCGCACGTGAAACCCAGTAAGTTCAACGAGCGTACTGGCGCGCGCGAACGCTCGCACTCCACGAGTAAATTACCCGTTATTAGCGATCGTCGTTACGGCGTATTAAGGCGGCTTTGACGCGGCGACTTGAACGCGTGTCGACGCTCGTAACACCGAGGTAACGAAGAGAGAAAAACGATGCGAAGAGATAGCGCAAGAGAGATTCAAAGAGAAGGAACGACACATTGAGGGATATATAAGACGTAGAGAGAAGCCCGAATTACAAGCCGTGATAGGATTGCCTACTTGCCGTCCCTGGTGTAATAATGTATTATGGTACCAAGGAACGATCAAAGTGCATTTTGGGTAATTGGAAGTGGTGGCGAAGCACGAGATACTCCGAAGCGTCCGGACCATCTCGTTTGGCCAAGATGGCGGTACTATTGTCCCGCGAAAACTTTCACGTCACGTCAAAAATAAAATATCCACCGCGGCACCAATTTTCGCGTGAAATTTCATTCGTCTCGGTGCACTTGATTGGTGATTATTAAAATATTTTTTTTTTCGAAATTTTTGATATTCCATTAGACGTCATCCATATTGTACACCATTCTGACAGAGGTGTAACGTTCGCAAGTATTTCGTTTGGTTGCTTACGTGAGTATCGGAGGTGTACAGGAAGCTGTGTATACAGTAATATAGTCCGTAGGGTGTAACTGGGCCTAATGCAAATGGCTCGTTAGGTTGAAACACCTGAAATTCCAACGTGGGCCGAGTCGCATTGTTTCTCGATACCCCATGGATTATTCATTGTTGGATCCGCGTGAAGGTGACAGACGTCGCGACGTCCGCGCAAGACTAAATACGAGTTCTCGTGAAATTCTAACGGGTGCTTACATTACGTCACGCTAAATTAGTTTCCATTGCTTCTTATACACGCTGTAATACGTGTTCGCGCAAGGGCCTTTCTATGTACCGCTATGCGAGCCGTTTACATGGCTCGTACATGTTTGACGGACTTGGAGAGAAATAGTACGGCGAAGTAGAGAAGGAGAGAGCGAGGGAGAAAGAGGAATCTGAATTTATGAATGAAGGAGCGAACGAAGGGCGAGCGTAGGCTCGTTCCTCTATGGTTCTCTCGCTCCCTCTCTTTCTCGCTCAGTCACTCTCTATCGCTCTCTCTCTCTCTCTATCTCGTTTTCCCGTCGTGTCGTCGCCCACGCGTTATCATAATCGAGACCTCCGGCCTAGTCACGCCTTCGAGCGTGGCGCAAGGTTGCCTTCTCAAATCGAGACTTACGGATCCTTACAGGCTCCCAGGTCCTACCGCAATGTACCACCCTCGTAATATCGACGTAACCTTTCGCCTCCTATGACCATTCACCGTACCTTTTCTTGTACCTTTTACTTTTAACCAGCAGAGACAATTGACAGTGCCACCAACGTGTTCTATGGAGACCTAGTGAACGTACAGTCGTATGGTGACATAATTGTATACGTATATATGTTATATATATATGCTATTTGCATTAGGCCCAGTTATATATATATATATATATATATATATATATATATATACGTAGTGACCTCCTGTCGTACGATTCTCCCTGGTATAATTCCCAATTGGATGTCGCAATATCAAACGACACATAGAGGATACGTATGTCGTATGCGCGATAATATACGCCTCTTGCCCGACCGAGTACAAGTTTCCAAAGCCGTCTCGAATCCGCGGATGATTATGCGACCGGTCTATTTCTAGAAGTACCATGGGACGAACATACTAATTATTTTTTATCCGTTACAACCAGTCGGCAAACTGTTGGTTGTGCGGGTATTGGTTAAGAGTGAGGTGAGAGAGAGAGAGAGAGAGAGAGAGAGAGAGAGAGAGAGAGAGAAGTATAAATGGACCAAACGTATCGAGACTCGTTCGCGGTGCGCGCGATGCAACTCGAGTGCAATAGGGGTGCACTCGGTAGAGGAGAGAGCATGTGCGTGCACGCACTCGCATACGTAAGCTCGCACGCGCACGCGGAGTGGAACGGCGAGTGCGTCGCCAGGAGAGTCTGAAACAATTGACATTCTGCGTGCGCGTTCGATCGCTCGGCGAGGAAAGCGGCGGGGTCCTGGTTATGTTGGGGCCGATGAGACTCGATGTGACTCGATGCGACTCCGGCGAGCCTGGAGCGCACGGGGAGTCCTCTGTCGAGGAGGAGCGAAGTGGCGGTCTCTGGCGAAGGTGGTGGCTATAGCGGTGGAGGAGGTTGCCAGAGGGGTTACGGGGGGAGGGTTAACCGTGGCATGCACCTGTGCATTGCCGCCATATACGATACGGAGTTATGGCGTTTTTCCGAGGCGATCGTATCTTACCGGCGAAACCAACTCCATTTGTGGAAAGCGCGCGGCGCAATTTCAAACTGAATAACGCACAGCGCGCCTGGCCGGGCTGAAAAGTAAATTAATTGTCCGGGAAAAAAAGGCAAGGAGCGCTTATTTATTAGACACGCCACGTTGCCCACGCTACTGGGGGCTATACGCCATTTTTCCCGAACGTGTCTTATTCCATCTCTCTCTCTCTCTCTCTCTCTCTCTCTCTCTCTCTTAGAATGCGTATCCTCTCTCGGTTGCATCCAGTCTCGGACACCGTAGTCTCTCCCACGCAGCATCGTTTATACCGTGCCTCGTGAAATTTTGAGAAAAATCATACATATTTGACATTGGCAGAGATCGTTCTTCGGAAAATCGAGAGTGAAACGCAACTCCTCCAGCGAGAGTGCGCTCTTGGATTTCTTTTTCCTAGTCTTCCCGTTTAACGTGGGTGTAACCAGTTCCGTGGGTTTAGCTGTCAAACCCACGTGGCCCGCCTACGTTTACCAGATATATTACCGGCTGCGTGAGAGTGTGCGTGCTTGCCCGCGCGTACGTGAGCATAGGTGGGTTCAGGTGGGATAGGTGAGGGAAATGAGCAGGGAAGCCTTCAGGTACGAGAGATGCGGCTTGCGACACAGGAAACGGTTTCACCTCGAGGGGTCCAGAGGCTGCATCCACACCGAGCCACTAAGTAGACACGTGGGTGTTTATGATGCATGGGAAGTTGCTTTTATGAGCTGTGTTTTTCGTGCGTTTAATGGGATCTCGTCCGCGCGCGAGCCGACTCGCTCGCTCCGTGTGTATATGAAGACGCACGCGTCCTAGGGTATAGGGTAGGAGATTGTCCCTGCGCCGGTATACGGAGAACATGAGAGTATATGTATAAAGAGAGGAGCAAAGGAGCCAAGGATACAGCCCGAGAACACGTGGTTATTGATACTATCGTATCTGGACATACCGAGCGATTCTTATCCGGATCCCCGTGACTAATCGTACCGATTCGTTTACTCGCCAATCCTATCGTTTCACGGCTATTCCATTCGGACTAATAGATATCGAGGGAATCGATATCTCTCACATATTCTAGACGATCATTAATATACTCTCTATATAGATTATGACCAGATAAAATATAGTTGTCCAAGGACTCTTGGTGTTACTTCATTTTTTTTTCTTTTAAAAGGCTACCATAACTATATGTGTATATATATATATATATATATATATATATATATATCCTCAGCTTTATATCCACATTATAGCATCATCTGTCTAGTCTAATGGTTAGACTGAATTCTAGTTTTCTCCTTTTCTCTTTTTATTACTCGTTTCCCAGATTGCTCCAAGTCTCTATGGAGGCTGTTGATGTTGTGACGGGAATGCACCGGGTGGCGACTGTTTGTCACTGGTATCACAGTAGCTTTTGGTCCAGGGCGATGCCTCTTCCGAGAAGTCTCTTTCGGCAATAGGGTTTCGTCGCTGTCACGTGAGGAAAGTACGAGGGCGCGAAGGTACGAGAGTATGAAATTCGAATGGAGAATGTGCGGCTAACTGAGAGAGATAGAGAGAGAAGAGAGAGAGAGAGAGAGAGAGAGAGAGAGAGAGAGAGAGCGCAAGAGCGAAAGAGATGGTAAACGACAGAGACAAACGCACCGTGAAAGAGAAAAGGAGCGAGATAGAGAAAGAGAGTAGAAACCGATGAAGCGATGGCGAGGAGTCGAGGAGCCGAGGAGCCGAGAGGGTCTCCTTAGCGATTGATATAACACCGCGATTTGCGTAATATACGCCCGCTCGTAAAGCCCGCGTTGATTTATCCCGGTAAATAAATAGATTCGGTGTTGTTAACCCCGTTTTTAGGGGGAGACAGAGACACGCGGCGCGCACGCGCATGCCATTTCATCGGTAGGGGGAATTCGGGATGCTTATACGCAGCATCCCGTAGGTCCAGCCATACAGCACGTATACCTATATCTAATGTCGGTGCTGGTTGGATTAAAAATACGAAGGGACCAAGCCAAGGAGGATCTTCAACTCTTATGCTCCTCACCTCGCTTCCATCCACTTCATCTCGTTCCCGCACCCCTTTTTTTTCATCTTCTCGTGACCCCTTCAAGACATGTCATTTTCTTCTTATTGTCTCACCATATGACTCCAGTGTCCACCTATGGTACAGAGTAACAGGGTGCGTATAGTAGTTCACGTTTTATCGATAGGACACATCGACTCCTGGTAATCGATTCACGGCTATCTCGAGTGACGTGCATCCCTCCCAGTGCCGATGCACATATGTTATTAATGGAAGTAATAAGAGAGGAAATTGAATCAACCGTTAGAATCTCGAAGGAAGGGCAACCCGCTTCGTGCAGCCTCCGGGCTTCGAGTTCTTCGGCTCTTGGCTTGTCTTGTCAATCTTACTCCTAAACTCGTGGCACCTACTACCTACCGAACCCTAGACTAAAATAACCTTACTCGTCGTACTACTAAACTACCGTGGAAGCATTGCGTCACACGAGCGTACCACAGCCTATAGCAATGCA